AAGTGAGGTCCAGGGCAGGGGGCTGGGAACACCATGCTAAGTCCCAGAACTCCAATCACCTGGGAATGTATCTCCCATTCTCAAAAGGAGACCCCAAATATTTGGTCTGGGTGGGAATATAGGTCCCAGGTCCATAAGGTGTCTACACTGAACTAATCAACGACTTTACCCGTCTGGCCACCAGGGGTGTTTGCACACAGGCTCCCTGCTACTGCATCCTTATGGAATTCTGCGCTCAAGGCCAGCTATATGAGGTGCTCAGGGCTGGCCGCCCTGTCACTCCTTCCTTGTTGGTGGACTGGTCCATGGGCATCGCTGGTGGCATGAATTACCTGCACCTGCACAAGATCATCCACAGGGACCTTAAATCCCCCAAGTGAGTAAGCAGGCTGAGGTGCATGTAGGTGCATGCAGGTGACCTTCCCATGGTACAGACAGCACATTCCTGCGTTTCAGGTTCTGTCCCAAGTTTATCTGAGAAACTTCTTCCAAGCAACAGCCCGCTGGAAGACCGTGTTAGGTGTCCCAAACAATATCATAAAGACAATAACAGCAGTTAAATGGGGGTGTGAAGGGATATGAATATTGGCTGACTACACTCTTTACCAGCATGCTAATCACATACGACGATGTGGTGAAGATCTCAGATTTTGGCACTTCCAAGGAGCTGAGTGACAAGAGCACCAAGATGTCCTTTGCAGGGACAGTGGCCTGGATGGCCCCTGAGGTGATACGCAATGAGCCTGTGTCTGAGAAGGTCGACATCTGGTAAGCACCAGGGCGGTATTTCTAGGATTATACAGATGTCACACAGGACTTGTGGAGGGAACCCTCCAAATGATGTCCTCTCTTGTCCTCAGGTCCTTTGGGGTGGTGCTATGGGAACTACTGACTGGCGAGATTCCCTACAAAGACGTAGATTCCTCAGCCATCATCTGGGGTGTAGGAAGCAACAGTCTCCACCTGCCTGTGCCCTCCAGCTGCCCAGATGGTTTTAAAATTCTGCTTCGCCAGTGCTGGTAAGGATGGCCTGGCTGGCAGACTGTACTGACCAAGTCGAGGAGATAGAGAGTGACAGAAAGCCAGCACCTAGAACCCAGATATGTAGGCTGAGAATCCATTGCAAAAGCAAGTTCCCTGACTGCTCCAAGTTCCAGGACCCAGGATGTTAACAGGTGGTCACAGGACGCACTCTGGGAAAGGCACCTCTAGTTCCTTTCTCATCCCTCCCCACCTCTATTCCTGATAGGAACAGCAAACCACGAAACCGCCCATCATTCCGACAGATCTTGCTGCACCTGGACATCGCTTCAGCCGACGTGCTCTCTACACCCCAGGAAACTTATTTTAAGTCCCAGGTGTGCTGTGGGTAGAAAAACAATGGATGTCTGACCCTTACAAACATGGCAGAGCCTTTGATAAGACAGGAAATCTGACTCAATAGATGAATTCTTAGAGACAGTTGTTAGGCAACAGGGTCTGTGAGGTTACAGGGACACAGTCCTCACCCCCACACCTCCTGTCTCTCCATCCCTAGGCAGAGTGGCGGGAAGAAGTAAAACTGCACTTTGAAAAGATTAAGTCAGAAGGGACATGTCTGCACCGCCTAGAAGAGGAGCTGGTGATGCGAAGAAGGGAGGAGCTCAGGTATGTGCCTACTCAGTAAGAACCATTTACCACAACCCCAGAGAAGGGGCATTAGGGCAGCTCACTCTGCGAAAATCATCTGCCCGTTCAGACATGCCCTGGACATCAGGGAGCACTATGAACGGAAGCTGGAGAGAGCCAACAACCTGTACATGGAACTGAATGCCCTCATGCTGCAGCTGGAACTCAAAGAGAGGGAACTGCTCAGGTAACTAAGCCCTTAAACACCATGTTTAAGGGTCCCTGGTTTTCATGAAGCTTGGGAGACCTAACGAGGTGTCCGGATCTTTAGGCGAGAGCAGGCTTTGGAAAGGAGGTGTCCAGGTCTACTGAAGTCACACCCTTCCCGCGGCCTCCTACATGGAAACACGATGGAAAAGCTCATCAAGAAAAGGAACGTGCCACAGAAACTGTCACCCCACAGTAAAAGGTGGAACTGCACAGGACTGGCAGAAGGGAAGCTGGCAAGGCAGTGTTTGTCTTTGGTGGGGGATGATTTTATAATTGTTGATCTCGACCTTGTCCTTTCCTTCTACCAGGCCTGATATTCTCAAGACAGAATCTTTGCTACCTAAACTAGATGCAGCCCTAAGTGGGGTGGGCCTTCCTGGGTGTCCTAAGGGACCCCCCTCACCAGGAAGGAGTCGTCGTGGCAAGACCCGTCACCGAAAGGCCAGTGCCAAGGGCAGCTGTGGAGACCTGCCTGGGCTTCGAGCAGCTTTGCCACCCCATGAGCCTGGAGGACTAGGAAGCCCAGGGGGCCTAGGAGTGGGCCCTTCAGCTTGGGATGCCTGCCCCCCTGCTCTCCGTGGACTCCACCATGATCTTCTACTGCGAAAGATGTCCTCATCATCCCCAGATCTGCTGTCGGCAGCACTGGGAGCACGAGGCCGAGGGGCCACAGGGGGAGCTCGGGATCCTGGCTCACCTCCTCCACCCCAGGGCGATACTCCTCCAAGTGAGGGATCAGCTCCTGGTTCTACCAGCCCAGATTCACCTGGGGGGGCCAAAGGGGAACCACCACCACCAGTAGGACCTGGTGAAGGCATGGGGCTGCTGGGAACTGGAAGGGAAGGGACTGCAGGCCGGGGAGGAAGCCGGGCTGGGTCCCAGCACTTGACCCCAGCTGCACTGCTGTACAGGGCTGCTGTGACTCGAAGTCAGGTAAAGTATGGGGAAGTTCCTCCTTTCCCTTTCTTTAATCTCCCTAGGGGTCCAAATGCTGTGACCCCACCCAACTATGTAACCTTCCCTAATTCTTAATGACTTTGTTATTTTTGACTGGTTTACACACACACATACACACACCCATCTCTACTGTAGAAACGTGGTATCTCATCTGAAGAGGAGGAAGGAGAGGTAGACAGTGAAGTAGAGCTGACCCCCAGTCAGAGGTGAGTGCTGATACATATAATGGCATCTTTTGCTTTGGGAACTGTAAAGAACAAAAGCTGTAACCATGCCTCAATGTTTAGGTGGCCTCAGGGCTCGAACATGCGTCAGTCACTCTCTACCTTCAGTTCAGAGAACCCATCAGATGTGGAGGAAGGTACGGCTAGTGAACCTTCCCCCAGTGGCACACCAGAAGTTGGCAGTACCAACACTGATGAGCGGCCAGATGAAAAGTCTGATGACATGTGCTCCCAGGGCTCGGAAATCCCACTGGACCCACCTGCTTCAGAGGTGGTCCCTGACCCTGAAACCAGCTCCATGCCCATGCAACAACAGGATCTACTCAAAGGTGAGCAGGTGAGTCATGAGAAAGGACCAGACACTGAATGTGAACTGGGAGCTGATACCCAGTCATGTGAAAATCTTTAGGGAAGACTAGAGATACAGGCTAGAGATACTTGGTATTTAGCCTTCAAACCAATGAAGTTTCCAAGCCAGTTTCTTCCATAGAAATGAAAACAAATATCCATATAAATGGAATTAAACCAACAGTTCAGAGCATCCAGGATTGTGTAAACTGTCATCAGCAAAGCATCCCACCCCAAAAGGTCTATCTGGCAAGTGCCTTGAAGCACGACCTGAACAACCTATAAGCAGTAAGAGAAAAACCTCCAGTGTTGACTGAGGGCCCTGAAGGAAGCGGCAATGCTGAGATGCCGCACTCCCACCTCACGGCATTTCTACTCTTCCTCACAGGGCCCCAATCCTGAGGACTCAGACTGTGACAGCACTGAACTGGACAACTCCAACAGCATTGATGCCTTGCGGCCCCCAGCCTCCCTTCCTCCATGAAAGACACTCTTATTCCTTGTATATAGACAAATATTTATATAAATAATATATATGCGCCACATAATCAACAGATAGATGGGGCTTTCTTAGCCTTAAATCAGGCTTGAGAGTGAAGGACCCCCCCTTGACCAATTACCGAATAAGTTCTAGGGACACTGGCAGCTGTGGAAACGAATGATTCCAGGTACTACCCTAGAGCTACGAGGAAAGGAATCCGGTCCCTTCTTGCTTCACCCCATTCCTTATGTTCAGCAAGCGTCTAGGCAATAGAAAAGCCAGGCTTGTCTCTACACTGTCCACTCCTGAACACTGGGGGACAGGAGAGGATCCACTTAAGACTGCACTTTTATTTTCCATTTACTGTTTACACATTTTGCACTTGGGAAGAGGGAAACTAAGGCTGGGTCCTCCCCTCTGAGGTTTCTCAGGTGGCAATGTAACCCATTTCTTTGTCCCTGTTCTCTGCCCAAGCCCTGGCTTAGGGCCCAGAGGCAAGTTAGAAGACTGCTAGCATGTGATGGCTCAGGCTGAATAGCTGGAGAACTGGGCTGTTAAAGTCCCTACTATTATCCTGGTGCCTGGCAGGGGTGGGGACTGTCTTATTGTAACCCCTGTGAACAACCCTGAAATATAACCACTCCATGGCAGGCCCAGCTGTTGAGGGTTTTCTTGGTGAATGAATGGTTAACAATCTTGGATTTAAGAGTTTGTCTGATGAATCTGGACAAATTACTACTTTTTCTAAACATGTCAAACTTCATTCTAAGTTAACTTTTCTAAATTATTTCAGAACGAGAATATAAATGGGTAGAACATAAGGTTAAAGAATGCCAGCTAGAATAAGGGGCAATCACTCCCAAGCTTACTGTCATCCAGATATATGTCCATATGTATATTGTGTGTTTTATATATGTGTGTGTATACACACACACACACACACACGTACACATCTTCCTGGCCCAGCTCCATAGACACACCTGTTGCTCTACAATCCTAGGATGAATGTAATTGCCATCCATTCTTCATGAGCAAATCTTCTAAAGGCCAACCAAAATTATGGCAGGGAAAGACCAAGGGCAATTAAACAAATGAACAACAAAAACAAAACATGGAGTGGTAAAACAGAAGAAAATCTTAATTCTATTCAAACCCAGCCAGGGCTCTGTGAAGGTTTAAAGGTATAAAAATAACATCAAGACAGGAATAACACCCACATAAGTCACTGTGGCATCCAGTTTCTATTCACAAAGAAAAAGCTCCAGTCCATCTTTTAATTTTTTTTTTTGAAAAATTCCTGACATTACAGAACTAAACTGAAATGTATTAATATTCCACTCTTACATTTCCATGACAAACAAAAATTCATGAGCCAAAAAAAAACCCCAAAAAAAAGGAAAAGGGGGAGAAGCTTATAAAACTAAATATGGATATCTCAGCGTAACTGCTGAACAGAGAAAGAATTAAAACGCTTTTAATTAAAAAATCATGAGTGGATGATAAAGTGTGTAGAAACTGAAAATTTACAAACTATTTAAAACCTGGAATTGCTGACTGTTCAGAAACTACACAGATGGATCATGGGTGGTGGTGAACAGCAGAAAGGGATTATGGGTGAATCTGCATTGTTCTAGCTGCTCCCCATGCCACCTGTCTCCGAGGAAAGCCTGTAAAACAGAAAGAAGAGTAAGTCAGTTACAATCAGTATGTTACTAACATTTCAAGGTTTCTTAAATTAACTGTAATATGATGTGGTATGTGCGTCTTTAATACCATTACAATCAAGCTTCCTGAGGCATTCTCATTTACAAAGCATGTCATGTTGGTGACACTGTCTCTTTAAACTCTTTAAGCTCTACCCTTCGGAAACTCTGTTCTAGTGCTATACCACGCATTATTGTTGCGAAGGGACACAGAAGCTGTTTCTTTACTACTCTGCTCACCCCCTTCACACAACAGGGAGAACACTAGCCTCCAGAAGGATAATCTCCAAATGTGTTTACAGCCTAGGTAGCTCTATCAGTGTGAAGGAACTGCTTTGTGTTGGGAGCACATGTGAAGACATCACATAACTTTAAATACTAAAGGAAGAACCAAGTATAGAAACTGAAGTAAAGAATTCAGTTATTGTTTTCAAGCATAGATTTCATTACAAAAATGAATAATACAACAAGCAACAGGGCAGGGCTTCAGTTCCTTAGCTCACTCTTCAAAGCCCAAAACCTATGGCCGCCTTACTGTGCCAAATCCTCCTTATAAACATACGTAACTACAATGCCTTTCTACTTCTGTTTTAAATAGGTCATCTGAATGCCTTTGAAGGAAAGGCAGTCAGTATACTTCACTGAAATTAAGTAGGCAGCAAAATACCTCATTTTGAAGCTAACTAAAAGTCTCAGTTCCACACTATAAGCTTGACTTTATTAAGAGGTGATTGACATCCATTTGTGCTGTCTGGGTAACACAGTATTGCACTAAAGTACGAATACAATAAAGGGGGACTATCCCTGAAACCAGAAAGGTCATCCTTCACTTAAAGATTGTTTTCATTAAAGTCAGAAATGGTTTCTATTGTCTAGCACCCTGAATGTGCCTAAACATTAAAAACATATGTGAGATCTCCAAAGCTAGAGTCAGGCTTGCTAAGTACACTCATAGGTGAAATTCAATATAAAGGGAACTATTTCATTCTTTGAAAAGTAAGAGGGGCTACAGAGATGGCTCAGTGAGTTCCCTGATGAAGCAATGAGAACTTTACACCCATGAAAAAAATGCCAGAAGTGGCAGTGCACACCTGTAATCTGGGATGCTTGCTAAGTATATAATCTAGCCAGTGAGTCTCAGGTTCAAAAGATCTCATCTCAAAAAATAAGTTGGAGAATGAGGAAAACAAACTTGTTTTGACTTCCATTCACCCACATACAAGTCCCATATGTATCCACATACATGATACATACACACAAAACAGGAATACATGGGCTGTGGAGATGGCTCAGTGGATATTGTGTTTGTCATTCAAGCATGAAGACCGACTAATGCTCCCAGTAGCCCAAAACAGACATAACCGGTAGTCCAGTGCATCTGTAGTCCCAGCACATCTAGGACAGATCAGAAGCAAAGAAAGGACAATCCCTAGAAGCTGGAAAGTCAGTTGTTAGCAGGATAAAAAAGACCATCTGAAACAAGGTGGAAGACAATGACCACTTGTGCTCTATGGCACCCATGCACCTACACAGCACATGGGCCCAACAACAACATGGACACAGATACAGCAGATTATTATCAATCCCAAAATAAGAAGCACTTATTACTCTTGCAGGGACCTGAATTTGGTTCACAAATGTCACTTGGTGGCTCACATTGTCTGTGACTCCAGTTTCGTGGGATCCAACATTTTCAGGTCCCCGATGGCCCTGCACACATATAATGCATGTGCATACACACATAAAACACACATCAAATAAGTAAAACAAGCTTTGAATGATAGAGGTTTTGTAGGTAACAAAGGTTCTGCTAGTTTAAACTGGCTAGTTTAAATCTAGTATCTTAAACAAAACCCTACCATCTAGGGTGGAAGCATGGCGGTCATATATAAACAGCTCAACAACTGCCCAGCACTCACTATAAAGCCTGAAAATTTATAAAGGGCAAGATGCAATGGGTGAGCAGAGCACAGAAGAGAAATCTCAACCAGAAACAGATCTGACTCATGACAGTCAAGTCCCCTGAATATCTGGATTCTGTCCCAGCAATTCTTTATTGGGGATATCTGTTAAATTAAAAGGCCTTCCAGCCAGGCACCTTTAATCCCAACACTTGGGAGACAGAGACAGTCAGATCTCTGAGAGTTCCAGGCCAGCCTGGTCTACAGAGTGAGTTCTAGAACAGCCAGGAGCTGTTATACAGAGACACTGTCTCAAAACAAACAAACAAAAAACAATACAACAAAACAAAAAACAGAATCCTTCCAACAGACAAGCTAAAGTTACAAATGAAATCCCTATGGAGATAGTTATCAGCATAGTAAATGTTTGAACTATAGAAAGAGTTGAACCACTCAGCATAGGACACAGCTATCACTCAGACCCAGGGTACATGGAACACAAATGTGTAAGGCCAATCTGGAAGAAATGAGCGTGCCACCCTAACACTGAAAGGTACGCAAGAACAGCTATGTCTTTCTGCTGTTCAATATCATTCTAGGCTGGGAAAGGCCATCAGAAAAAAAAATCTACATAGAAACCTTCACAGTAAAGAAAACTCACAATATGTCCATTGGTTGACAAGAGAATCAAATGGCCTTCTCACCATATGGGATACATTGCTCTTCCTTTTTGTTCTCCAATGCAAGAGAACAAATCCAGGACCCAGCAAATATTGTATCACTGCCTTCAATCCTCAGCCCCAGCGCATCATTTTCCTCTTTTGTGGAAAATACCTGTAGCTCATCTTGATTAAAAAAAAAAAAAAAAAGCTGGACAGTGGAGGTACACACTTTTAATCCCAGCAATTTGGGAGGCAGAGGCAGGTGGATCTATGTAAATTCGAGGACAGTTTGGTCTACAGAGTGAGTTCCGGGATAGGATCCAAAACCTGTCTCAAAAAAAAAAAAAAAACCAAAGCAAAACAAACAAAAAATTTGGATTTACCTATCGTAAACCACACCACTCCAGGTCCTGGGATCAAGCTCCAGTACCAGAAAAAGAGAAAATTTACACACCCGGAGCTAAGTGAACCATTGTGTAAAAGCACAGCACAAACAATTAGTCCTGAGTAATCACGCATGTCATAAGTATATTCTCTTGGGGCTTCTTTCCTAGTTCCTACTGAACAGTCCATCAAGTCCATTCAAATCTAACCGTATCTTTCACTCATGATAGTGATGTTAGTGAGAGAGAAGGCAGGCAGGAAATAGAATGACTATTTAACATACTCAGAGTAAGTGCTTCCTAACATCACAGAAGATATTTAATGATCTCCTAAAGGAATATAGACAATAGCTACCTTTGGCATTGACCATTGCCCATTATCATGAATAAAGACGTAAATCCTATGTGTGCCTTTGAAATAACCACTCACCAGAGGAAAAGAGCTGGGCAAAGACACCCTTGTTACCAACTGGTGTAAGCAATATAAAAGTTTCTGGGTAATCATGAAGACTCTTTAAGTACTGAAGCTACTGAAGGCCCTTCTACTTGGGAATATAGGCAAAGGGTTACAAAATTCATGTGGGATGCAAAAAGGCCCAAGTAGGCTGCACAGCCATGGAAGCTTACAAGGCACAGATCACAAGTCCCCACCCCTTCACCCGTTACATCACACAGTGAGCTACAGTTCTTACTGTGGCAACTTTATTGTAACTAGAGACACAGATTTGGCCAAGGCCAGCTGACAGCTTAACCATTAAATAAAGGTTTTTCTTTTTATAAAAAAAAAAAAAAAGGAAAGGATTAACGGAGAAGCTTTTATTCATCAACACAGAGCCTAACACATCGTTTCTATATTGCAAGGCAGAATAAAGCTACAAAAGTGTAACAGAATGAGGGAAGAGTTAAGAACTGGCTCTAGATAATGATTTCAATCAACAAGTCAGACTCTCAAACAGGCACTGAGCTGTAAGACCTAAACCTAAACAAGAATTACCCATCCCCACCCCCACCCAGATATTCCCAAAAGTAGTAAAAAGAAAACGGTCACAAGCTCACAATAGTTTGGTTCTCACCAATGTTAACAAAGAAAAACAAAATGAACCAACACTTGAGGAGGTGCCAAGATATGCACTCAGTAGGGAGAGAATCTCTGTTTCTCGCCTTTCAGTTTGTTAGTTACACATGGCACAGTAGAGGTGGTGGTGGTGGTAGCTGAAGCCCCGGTACCCTTAGCAGCAGACACAACATTTAGAGCCAGGAGAGGGATGGGTTTCATGCCAAGCAGACTGGAGACACAAGGGGCGGTCGGAAGAGGGTTGGGGAGGCTGGAGGGTGCGTCGGAAGTCCCCGCTGTGGCGAGCGAGGGGGTGGTGGTGGAGGAGGAAGAAGAAGAAGAAGGGGTGGAGGGTTGAGAGAGGTTGATGCTGAGGTGATCAGGGATCGTGACGGAGGCTGTCTGGGAGGAGGGTTTAGCGTTTTCTAAACTGTAACAGAGGAAAAAAGGAACAAAAAAAAGGGTGGGTGGAAGGGAAGACCACAACAGGGAAAAAGTACAGGACAAAATCCGCTTCAGTTCTATTAGTAAGTGCCTTTAGCTGCCAATTAGAAAGATATACTACCAATTTTTACCAAACAATTTAAGCTTGTACCCCACCCTCTAAATATTTGTATCATCACCTTCCCTCCTACATACAAGCTATTTAAAACTGCTCTGGTAAAGACATAACTGACAAGACTGAGAAAAGGAATCACACAGAGCATATACTTCCCAACCCAGAAACAGAATAAAGTAGTCAAGTCTAGTGGCACCAGCTACTATGGAATCTGAGACAAAGGATCAGAAGCCCACAGCCTGCCTGGGCTACATAGAGAGTTTAAAAGGCAACTTTGAGACCTTTCAAAAGAAAATCAGACAAAGATGTCTGGGAATTATCTAACATACACTAAGAGCTCTAAGTTCAGTGCCCAAAATTGTTTAAAGAAGACTGTTATTTGAATGAGATAACCTTGAAAACAAACATACAACCAAATTTTCAGTTTTGCACTTAAATGAAGGATCAACAATTCAACAATTACTTAAGAACACCACATTATACACTGCAGCTATTTAAAGACTTTCAGACAGGGTCTTCTTCTGTAGCCCAGGCTGGCTGCAAACTAGAGCCTCTTGCCTCAGATTCCTCAGTGCTAGGATTACTGGTGAGAATCACCATGCATGCCTAAAAAAATTAATATTAAAGCCTATTTACATCTTCACAGCAAATGAACCAAAATATTAAGATGGAAGGAGGCAAAATGGCCAAAGTAGATCACTAACTTCAAAGAATATAGCATAAAAAAAAAAACCTAAAAAATATAAACGTAGATGAGGTCCAGGGAAGCTTTCCTAATGGGAAGTTCTCATTTTAACTCACCATTCCTATATTTTAAATTAAGTTGAAAAAACTGAAGTACTATCACCCTCTGTGGTTTTTTTGTTCTGTTCTTGTTTGTTTTGTTTTGTTGAGATAGGGTTTCTCTGTAGCTTTGGAGCCTGTCCTGGAATAAGCTCTTGTAGATCAGGCTGACCTTGAACTCACAGAGATCTGCCTGCCTCTCCCTCCTGAGTGCTGGGATTAAAGTTTGTGCAACCACACAGCTAACATTTGTGCTTAAAGACAAAAATAATGCACCTTCTATCCCTACAATGTCCTCCAGCTAAGCAGGGTCACAGGTGTTTGCTGAGAGAAGACAAACTCCTGCAAGGCCACTTCCACAGGAAACTCTCTCCTAATCCCATCTGTTTAGCTTGGTGAGGGCCATTTAGTCATTAATTATCACAGTAATGAGCCACATCAAGACACAGAACCCTATGAAAACAACTCAGGAGGCACAGCAGAAATGCTATGAAGCCAATAGTGAAAACAAAACCAGTTTGCTTGTTTTCATTCAAACAGAGCCAAGAAGAAAAGCTTTAAAAGAAAAAAAAAAGGCAGCAAATGTGTACACCCTAGTACAGGTGATAAGGCTTAGTTCTGACCCACTTTAACCCCAGCACTCAGGAGACAGAGTGAGTTCAAGGCCAGCCTCGTCTACAAAGTTCCAGAACTTTCAAGGCTACCATCTCAAAAAAAGAGTTCTGATCCAAATCCATAGTTTGGATAGTTTCACTCACCAGTTTATTTTTAACAATTCTGCAGTTACTTCAAGTAATGAAGTCTGCTTCCTTACAATGTAGCCACTAACTTATTAAAAACATACCAGTCAGGAAGGAAGGTCAAATTTAAAGCTATAATTTGATCTCCAAGTAAGCTTACCCAAAGTGGAAGCTAACAATTTCTAGATCCCAAAAGCATTATTTTTGCCATAAAAACTTTCCTTCAGTGTGAACTAGAAACTAAAGTCTTTACCAGAAAGAGACTGTATAAGATTACTGCTAATTTACTTAACATAAAAACTTGATTTGGTAGTAAAACAAAGTACATCTAGATACAATTCTTTCTATATGAAGAACTGCAGCAGCTCAAGTGGAATTGACAATATTTCAACTAGGAATAAAATACTCTGGATGAGCACAAATGTGACTCCCTTTGGAAATGGACTATTAACAATATGACTGAGCAGAGCTAAGGAAGAAAACACCTGGTGGGATGGATGCTTATTTGACTATCTACAATTGTCCTCCAACTAAAAGTGTAGGAACAGTACCTAAAATAGGGAAGTAAAACCTTAGAAGTCACTTGCAGATGCATGAGAATGGGAATAGGAAAGAAAAATACCCCTGTAGTATCTGGAGCACTCCTAAGCCTGTGCTTCTTACCACCCCCCCCCAAAAATTGAAGACACTTCCCATTTGAGAAATATGTTTGCAAAATAAATGGTAACAGCTACCTACAAGAAACTATTCAGATGTATCATTAGCCCTAAAATTCAAGTTACTTTCGACTCCAAAATCATAAAAGAAATAACTTATCTATAGGATGTGTAAACAAGACACATACTACCACCCTTCCCACTGTTCCAAAACAAGCAATCTATAAAACCCCAATCTGGCTACTTTTCTCTGCTAAAGACAGAATTAGAGCTCTAGGAAAAGAAAGGGGGGAGGGAACTTTTGCAATCTCTACCCCCTCAAGTAAACCCACATATGGTAACACATTCCCTCACTACTGTGGCATTAATAAAGCAAAAGAGAGGTCAAACTTACCTGACATTGATTAGATACTGAGCCAGGCTGATGCTGGCAGCAGACCCAGTGATGGTGACCTGCCTATCAGTAGATCCTTCCACTGGGTTTGCAATTTTGATCTGCGCCCCAGACATCTGACGGATCTCATTGATTTTGGCGCCCTGACGCCCAATTATGCAGCCAATCAACTTGAGAAACAACAAAAAAGCACACCAAATTAAGAGATGAACAGCTACACACAAGACCATATACCAATCAATTTCTACACCTTGTGCTTAAAATTGTACTCTCCGACCTTCAGGTGTATTGCTAGCAAAACCTTCAAAATTAAGGTCTCATTTAATTTCTGAACCATTCATGTGATTAACTACAAATCAAAATCAACTTCAAGCTAATTTCTCAGTCCAACCATTAGCTTTCACTTCTATCCCCATAGTATTGCCTCCACTCCAAAGACAAATTAACCAGAACCATACTGATAACGAATCTAGCAAGCTATCTACAGGATAGGAAGAAGTTCTGTGTTTGAAAACTATAACACAGTTAATTCTATCAATTCTCTCTAGCAATATTTTCCTCAGGATTCTAACATACTTTATACTTACATCATTTGGAATGGTGAGTTCATGAGAAGTAGTTTGAGCAGATGCATCCAAACCTGCTAAAAGACAGAAAAGAGCAAGAAAGTTTAATGCACAGCATTCAGAATGAGTGATTTGCACATTAAACTAACAGAAGGAAATAAGCTGGAAACCCAGCATTGGCTGTTGGGGTTCATCACTAACTCTGAAGCCCCAAGGAGGAAAGATGGGAGAGGGGTATCAAAATAATGCTGCAAAGATTCTCCTGTACAATCAGAAGAGCTGATTTCATGCCATTTTCTGCAAGCCCAGACTAATAGGTAGGGAGGAGATAACACGGGGCAAAGAGTGTGGTATTCTTAAACAGGAGCAAAACCTAAACACCGAAGCTTCTACACATCTATGTCTTTTCTGATTAGATTGTTGTTGTGTCCTGGTTTTATTTCACCCAATGCTCACTAGAATCAGTGCCAATTTCATTCCTGTTATCGGGTATCATAGACTCTTGGCACATACACTGAATTGCCTTAATTAAACCTGTATCAGAGTAACAACCTCCATCTCTATACTCCCAAGCTAGACTTAAAAGATCACATAGATTAAATGGCAACAAGTTCGAGGGGAGTTTATTTCTCCAGATTTATTCTGTCTTTTGCTCTAATTCTTCTGGCTTTTGTTTGGTTTTCCAAAGAAAAAAAGAAAAGAAAAAAAAAATCCCATCATAAACACCCCTACCCATCCCTAAGAATACCAGGATTGGGCCATTTTGGCTGGCTAACCCTTACAGTTCTAGTCCTGCTCTCAACTACATTTTTAGAGGGTAGTTGGCCAGATCCATCAAGGGACCCTCAGGGGCACCAGGCCCACCTCTTGGCTCTCTCAGCTCCTCTCTGCTATATGCATGTAGCTGGTATGATTTATGGGCAGTGAAACAATACTCCCACCAGTTTATTAATATAACAGTAGAATACTACAGATTTTTTTTTTAATCATTACCCCAATAGCCTTTCACCTCTGGAGAGCTGGATTCAATGCCTGTTAAGATACAAGTGAAAATGAGTTTGGTGGTCTCATTCTAACCCTATCGGACAAGTTATCCCTTATACCAAAAAAAAAACCAAAACAAAACAAAAAAAAAGCCCCAAAACAAAAAAGAAAAACAAAACCAAAAATACACTACATAATTTGGAACGAATGGATTGTCTCTACCCAAGACTTGTGAACACCTGGTGGAGAGAAAGGGGATGCTAATCAGATCAAGGGAGCCACTATCAGGATAGGTACTAGAAATACCAGTCTAACCCTTTCCTGACAAGCATCCCCAGACCTCACCCCAAACCTTCCAGGGCTTTTTATTCTTTTATAATTAACTCACCCCAAATGAAAACCATGTTAACAAACACATTACCTCCTTTAGTCACAGTAGGTCAACTTTATACCAGCAGGTGCTAGATGATAATGAAGTTTGTTTTAAACAGTTGTCAAGCTGAGACCTTGGGACTGGCCTCTATCTTGTACTATACCTTACAAAAATAAACACTAAGGTATCCATACCACTGAATCCGGTGTTGCCATGGGTCATGGGAAAATGAGACTGTTGCATTGCCAACTGGTGCAGCTTGGTCAACTGCAGGAAGGAAAACAGGAGAGACCAGTATTAGAAGGGTAACCTAGTCAGCACTCAAGCACATCGAGACGGGAAAATGTACACAGCTCCTGCCTCCCAAAGTTGATGCTACTATTCCAATGATAACATAGGATAAGAATGGGGCTTACAGTATAATCCAGAGGACAGGCAGAATATAGGACAGTAAGGGTTAAAAATAGAAAGGATGTCAGTATACAAAAATGAAAGCATTTGGGGTATGTGAAAAGAAAAGCAGTAACTGGCCCAACAACCATCCCCTATGGACTTTTTAATGAAGGTGTAGGCAGCCATTGCCAATGGCTGCCCCAGAGACAAGCACAGACAGGCTAGGTAAACAACTGTGCAGTGGTGCTAGGGAAAACACACCATGCAGAATTCCACCAGTATTGGGAAAAGGGAAGGAGATGAAGGGGGCAGGGAGACTGCAAGGAGGAGAGAAGCTTAACAAGAAACCAAACTGGGCTTCACCTTCAACAAATATTTTCCCAACTATCTTACTGGTAACACACAGAAACCAGTCCCAGCTGGTGACAGAACAACCCTTTTCCATCCTACTCCACACCTCTCCTGAAGCTGCCACTAACCAAGACTCAACTTCCCAGACCTAGTACTTGGCACCTGTAAGGGTTTTAGTAAGAATGAAAGAAGTGTGAAAAAAATGTCCTTGAACAAAAATCTAAATACCAGTACTTTTAAGTAAGAGGTTCTCAGTAAAGTTTGAGTTGAATTACAACAATTAGTTTTCTAGTTTCCCTATGTAAATAAACCCTCAATGCCTTTTCTAATTTGTAACCTCAGAATGAGAAGTGCCTAAAGGCAAACCCAACCTCCCATTCCCCCAAGGGGAAGCACACGTTAATGACAGTTTGAATTGTGCCAAGATATTAATAGTGCACCATAGAACATATCTTTTTAGAATAACCTGAAAAACAGATTACTAATAATCTGGATAATGTCTAGGGGTTACAGTCAAAGGCAAACTAGTTGATAATGTGTGATTCACCCTCTAAGCTGAAACAACACCGTTGATTCAAGACCCAACTTATTCCTGTCTACTAGGGAGAAAGGATAGAGAGGAAGTTTTTCAAACAAGAAGTGAAATCAAAACTTACATCTGGCTGTGGAATGGCATACTGTCCTTGAATGGTATAGGCCTAAAAAGGGAGGAAAACAATTCCTATTAAAAACCAATCACGGACAGCCACCTGGTGGGGGGCAGAGGAGGGAGCAAGTTTTCAACTAGCCAGGAAGCCAGAGTTTAACCAAAGGGAGGCATATTGAGACAGAAAAGGGAATAACACAAATGGTCAGACCTGAGCTGGCCTTCTATGAACCTAAATACAGCAACTTTATTCCACAGATCCTCTTAAAAAGGTCTGCAAGTTCTTTGTAAAATTCTCTTTGTAAAATATACATGTCAGCTTTTTATCTAAAATGTGGAAAATAAGATAAAAACAATGGCTCAACTGATCAATCCCCCTACCTCATATAGTCAATACAAGATAGTAATCCCACTAATATGAATGATTTATATCTACACAAACCTGTACCACATATATTCAACATTGCCTAAGAACCTAAATTCACAAGAAGCTAGGTCTCTAACGCTAGGGACCTGACACAGAAGCACTGGGGACGGGGAGGATCAATTTGCTAAGTCCTGTCTTTCCTGCCCCCCTCCCCTATCCCTGCAAAAAGGCACTTGCAGCTCCCACTATGCCCTCCTCCCCACACCATATCCTCCCAAAAAGGGAGCTGGGTCTTTAGGGCAATTGGGTTGGGGGGGTGACAAGGAAGGGAAAAAAGAAGGAATGGAAGGGAGTGGCTGATTACTTAATAGAATGTGAACTTTCTCACATCCATTATGGTGGCAAGTACCCCCAAAAGCACATTCAGGTGGGGGTGGGAAGGTGAAAATGGGAGGGGAGAAGTGGGAGAGGGAAAGAGGGATTGAACAACAGCAACCAAAAAAAAAAAAAAAAAAAAAAATTAAAAAGAAAAAAAAAGTTGGCGTTACCATCTGGTGGGCTACGCGGCCTGTGTGAAATGAGGTGGGGAGGTCAGTCCAGGTCCCCGTGGACAGATGGTGTCCACAGCACAAAAATCACCAGCGCCACTGGCCCCCCGTGTGTTGGCAGTCTCGGCTGAGGCAGAAGGATTGAGTGAGCCTTGGAGACTGAACATCCCCTCTCACCTCTAGAGGTGGTCCCTCCAGGTCAGGGTTGAGGCACATGGACGGGGTGGTGTGGGGAAAGCTCGCACTGTCGCTGCCTGTGCTGTACCTGTCCTGTGGATAAATAGAGGATTTCAGTCTCCAGGGCTGTCAATCCGGCACCTTGTCACCAGCATGAAATTCACACCAAAAAAAAAAAAGTTGTTTATTTTTTTCTTTATTCCTTAAAAAAGAGCTCACAACACAGATTTGAAACGAGCTGTAATGAGTGAATAAAAAAGTTACCTAGCGGCAGATGATACTGCACAATTGGGTTATTTTCAGTAAGAGTGGGGGGGTGAGGTAACAGAGCTGATGCTGGTCTTGGTCACTGTAGGATTCAGTTAAACCCCTACAGGACCCACTTTGCCACAAAAGACAGAGGTCCATATGTGGACATTGTATGAATTGGTCCATTTATAAAAATGCCCATGGGAATGACCCATGACAGGGCAACTCATGAAAGAAGCTGCAAGCTTTAAGAGGGCAGTTAACTAAATAAAGGGGCGGTAGGTATGGAGAGGAAGAAAAAAGGTACAAAGGGAAAGGAGTGACAGGGAGGAAGAGAAGGAGGACGGATGGTGACCCAGCACTGGATAACCTAGAGTTCCATGAGAAAAGGTTAACTCCTGGGGCGAACCCTCCTGGCTACAATGACTGAGCCTACTGCTTATCCTCCCAACTACTTGTATTGACAGGCCTTCGAAAAACCTGCTTAAACAAAGCTAATGCTTAAAACAAAGTTCTAACACATCTCACAATAACACTGAAATATAACTACTTATGAAAACTCTCAGCAAGACATAAACTTGTTCACTTTTATTACTCAGTAAAATGTGAGATGGTCTCCAAGTTGATTCTTTCCTTTCTCAGATGCCTTTCAAACTAAATACAAATATAACTAGTTAAATACAGATTTTTTTTTAAATAGGACAGTCCCAAGTGGGAAGGGCACTTTAAGCAACATACCTTCACCTACCAAAATGACTATGACTATTTCAACTTAAATCACAGTATTCTAAAAACCTACTATTCAGAGTTAACACTAACAATCAGGATATACTAGTACATGACATTTATCAATGCTCTTCTCACACAACCCTAACTTTAGCATAAACCATGTGTCAAAAGATAAATAAATGGTTTAGATTGGTGAGGAATAGAGGCGCCAAGCCCAGCATGACCTCCCCCCCATCCTATCCTTGAATGCTCCTCTCACTCCAGCTGATTTAAATTATACCATGGGGTTTCAAACCAGTGGTTATGAGGTTAACAGTCTGGGGGATAACACACTGGAGTCTGGGGGTAAAAGGGTAGAGTAGGGGAGGGGAGGGGAGGTGAAGGGGAGGGAAAATTTGTAGGACACTCAAGCTCAAGAGTCACCATCCCATGCCCCATGCCATTTGAGACTGCTACCTTTCTTTGCGATCATTACTCAGACCTCTAACATCCCACACACACAAAAGCATGAATGGGATGGTGATATAGGGAAAGTAATGACACTGAAAGAATTTAACTTTAACCCAAAACACCACCAAAATCAATTACTCTTCTGAGTGTCTACAAAACTTCCACTGAAAATAAGGTCTTGGCATTCAAAATTTTCTATAGTAGCAAAACGAAGAAAAAAAAAGCAAAACAAACTATGACCAAATGTACAAGTTTTCAGCAAGCACACAAAGTAGCTTGGTGTGCTGCTGGTATAGCAGATACTTAAGATACATTCTTTGTTCATTCTGCCCACTAATAAGAATTCTCTTACCTGACCACCTGCAAAGATGACTGGAGAACTCGAGGGCTTGGGCCGGTACGGGATGGTCACGCCCTTCGGGGGGGACTGGGAGAGAGTCAGAGGGGAAAAAAACAAAAAGAGATAAGGTTTCAAAGCTGCTTCAGCTGTGTGGCGAAAGCACACACAGGTCAGTTAAATAACAATGACTTCCATCCCCTCAATTATCAAGCTGTACATGATTAGACATTGTAATCTCAAATATCTGACATTTATTGTCTTTAAAGCAAGAAGAAACTTCATGGCTCACTGATTCTCACCAAATATGTCCTGAAATAGTTTTAGTCATGATTTCCACATTTGCCTGTTTTTGGGGGTTTTTTTTTTGTTGTTGTTTCCAAGACAGGGTTTCTCTGTAGCTTTGGAGCCTGTCCTGGAACTAGCTCTTGTAGACCAGGCTGGCCTCAAACTCCCAAGGATCTGCCTGCCTCTGCCTTCCCAAGTGTTAGGATTAAAGGCATGCACCATAACTGCCCGGCTGATTTCCATACTTGTAAGTAAATTTAATACACACACACACACACACAATGTATAGATACACTTCGACTGATAATTTTTAGGATATTTTGGTATAAATAATAAATCCTAAATTGGATATAAAATTTCCAAATGTTACATATATGGTTCAAAAAAACACAAGATCTTTTTCCTTTCAGATTCAACTCCATGTAACTCAAAAAAGATTTAATTTCCCTTAATTTCTATCTTTTTTTGCAACAGAATAACAGGACTTCATAATTCACTCAGAAACACCACCATTTGATATTTTTTCTAACTATTTGACTATATCCTGTTTCAAAATAAAAGAACTGTGTCAATATCAAACAATTTAAAAGGTCAGCTAGCTTTTCAGAAATCCAAAATCCTTGTAGTCTCTTACCTTACCCACGATACTAAAATTATTCTGAGCCACAAGACTACTTAGCAGATCCTATTTTTGCTCACAAACTAAGATAAGTCAGAACTGGCAAAAGGAAAATATAAACAAGAGAACTTCTTTCCCCACCCCCACTGATAGCCTACCAGCTTCACCTAATTCTAGTCTTACTAAATATAGATCAGTTCCTCTGTCCCCAGAATCACCCCACACCTCCAGCATGAGCCTGAGGGCTTACCTCCAACATGACCACGCAGATCTGTTTGACACACTCAATGATGGATTGCGGAATGCCAGCAATAGTGATTGCCCGCTCAGTTGAGTTGGGGAGCATATCCCCTGCCACCTGGACCTGAGCCCCTGTACTCTTTAAGGTAAAAGGAAATTAGAAATCAGAGAAAAACTATGTTCTTCAATTCCCCCAATGGCAACTTTAGAATGTGATATTCAATAGACACTTGTCCTCTTTCTCTTTTCCCATTCTTCCTTTATCTGACAACTACTTACAAAAAGTTAAAAATAAGTAAACTCTGATGCTAGCAGAGTACACACAAGAAGAAAAGTAACTACACTGGATCCCAAAGACAGGGGTAGACCTCTTTCTTAATGTCCAGTGTCCTTTGTCTTAAGATTTGGTGCAGGGGGCTGGAGAGATGGCTCAGCGGTTAAGAGCATTGCCTGCTCTTCCAAAGGTCTTGAGTTCAATTCCCAGCAACCATATGGTGGCTCACAACCATCTGTAATGAGATCTGGTGCCCTCTCTGGCCTGCAGGCACACATGTAGGCAGATATTGAATGCATAATAAATGAATAAATATTTTAAAAAAAAGATTTGGTGCAATAAATCTTTAGAAATGGCAGTTTTCAACATGTCGTTTGCATAAGATTTACATCAGATAATTCTAAATACTATATATATTGGGGGTAAGCTCAACATGAGCAAACTATCAAAGAGTCACAGCATTAAGAAAGTTGAGAACCACTGATTTAAACAGAAGTCTTAAAATGGAAAATTTAATTGATATAACTTTGTTTAACCTACATTAGAAAAATAAAATAAATTAACTGAAAAATAAGAATAAATCTGCATAATAGTCTACATTTTACCTGCACAAGGAAGTCTCTTCTAATCAATTTTCTCTTACCCAATGACAGCTTTGTGTGCCAAACAAAATCCTCACAATTATCACCTACCTTTCATACTCTTATTTGAGCAAATATTTTCACCAATCCTATTCTGTATGTCAGATACTATTCCAAGTATTTAAAATTTATCATAAAAAAAAATAAACTAGTTAGTTGCTCACACCTATAATCTCTGAAGTTGAAACAGATGGACCATCTGACTTGTTTATGGCCAACTTTGGATATAGTAAGACATTATCACAAAAAACTTAAACCAAACCACTTCCCCTGACCCACAAAAACACATGGTCCCTGTGCAAAAACTATTAACCATCCTGTTCAAAGACTTCAAAAAAATTCCAACTAGTTTCCCTCAAAACCATTTAGTAACATTTCATTTAGACATGAAAAAAAATTAAATGAAGAATTGATAAATAAGCCAGGTTCAACTACCAGCACCACCCACATGGCAAATCACAATTGTATGTAATTCCATTTTAGGGCATCTGGCTCCCTCACAGACATAACTGTAGGGAAAATACTAATATCAATGCACATAAAATAAAAAATAAGAGATTAAAAAAAATCCACAAAGTGGTGGTATCCACCTCTAATCCCAGTACTTAAGAAGTAGAGTTAAGATAAATCTCTGTGAGTTCAAGACCAGCCTGGTCTACAGAGTGAGTTCCAGAACAGCTAGAACTACATAGTGAGACCTAGTCTTAAAAACTGTTTTTAAGGGACTGGAAAAATGACTGAATGGTTAAGAGCATCGGTTGCTCTTGCTGAGAACTTGGGTTTAGTTCCCATCACCCATATGTCCCTCACAACCATCTGTAACTCCATTTCATGAGATTCAACTCTCTTCTGCATTCTGCTGACAAGTGGTGACTATGTGTTGTGCATACACACATGCAAGCAAAAATCTAATACATTTAAAAGAAATAAAGTTTTAAGGTTATTTTAGGACTAGAGAGACGGCTCTGTTGTTTATAGCTTTCTAATAATAATTCCTACAGATAATCTGAATTCAGTTCGTAGCACCCACATAATTCTGCTCACAACCATCTGAAACTCCAGCCCGGGGGAATTCAGAACCTTCTTCTGGAATCCAGGGCACCTGCACTTTCATGCAAATATTCACAAGTGGTGCATCTTCAACCCAGGCTGGGTGGCTCTTGACTTTAATCCCAACACTCAGGAAGCAGAGGCAGAAGGATCTAAATTTGAGATCAGCCTTGTTCTACAGAATTCCAGGAACCTTGCCTTGAAAAATCAAAATAGATAAATATATAAATCTATCATTAAAAAAAAGTTTAGTGGTTCAGTAGGTAAAGACAACTGCAACTAAATCTACCAACCTGTGTTAGAGCCCAGTGAATACACAAGGTAGAATGAAAAAACTGACTGTCATGCCACATGTCCTCTGACCGGCATGTATACATATGTGCTTATGTATGCACTAAACACAAATAATGGGTATGGGAGGGGCAAAGGAAGATGGTCCAGTCCATAAAATGCTTGTAAGCACAAAACCAAGAATACATTTAAAAAAAAAAAAGAGAGAGAGAGAGAGAGAGAAGACAGGAGAATCCCTGGTGACTTAATTGAACAGCCAAGCCAGAAAAATCTGTCTCATGGGGTAAAAAGAGGGAGAGCAAGAATGAAATGGGACATGGTAACACCCACTTTTAATTACAGCACTGGGGAGACAAAGGCAGGTGGATCTCCTTGAAATCAAGGCCAGCCTGGTCTACAGAGCAAGTTCCAGTATAGCCAAGGCTATAAAGAAACCCTGTCTCAAAAAATCCAACCTCCCATGACACAAGATAAAATAAATGGTAACTATATGCAAAAAGTTATTCTCTCATATTCTGACTCATTACTGAACTAGGCAAAGGTTATATCTAGTCCTAGGTACTTGGGAGGCTGAGAGAAGATTACTAGTAAATTTAGAAGTCCCAGGCTAGTAACAGCAACAATCTCACCTTTAAAAAATAAAAGGGGCTAGTGAATAGTGCACTGGGATGTAGCTCAATGGGGGAATATCCACCTTCCATTTGTGAGCCACCATGTCATCTCTGGGAATTGAGCTCAGGACCCATGGAAGAGCTGCCAGTGCTCTTAACCTCTGCACCACCTCTCCAGGTCCTGAATTGTGTTTTTAAGAAAATTCTAACACTTTAATTCCAGTATCATCACACCACAGTCTTCATGGACTGCTAATCATGATCAGTTATCGGGATAAACATAGGGCCACAGACACATTAAGCAAGTACTGTACTACCAGAACCAAATTTCAACACCTTTTTTTAATCCTACATTTATTTTAAAACTGAGACCTCACCTGGCTGGCCTGGAACTCATTATGTAGATAGATCATGCTGACTTCACCCTGATCCTTCTGCCTCTTACTCCCAAGTGCTGGGATTAAATACATACACCACCATACTTGGCTCCATCTTGTATTTTTTTAGATAGGGTCTCCTTAATTGTCCCATTACAGCAAAGGCAAGACCTGAACTTGGAGTCTCCTATGTAGCTGAAATTACAGACCTGAACCATCATGAAGGCCATCTTAAATCTTCACATCATACGCTAAACTTTTCTAGCCATAACACAATCTAGTATGGGTATAATGAAGCACCATTCAGGAAGCAGAGGCTCTCAGAGATCTCTGTCTAAATAGAAAAGATGAAGCTAACAGACACTTGGGGGAGGGGGGAACCAACCTCTCTTATTTCCTTGATCTTGCAACCACCTTTTCCAATGAGAGAGCCACACTGACTAGCAGGGACCACGAGCCGTAAGGTAACTGGGGGTCTGCTGGCAGCTGTGCTATTGGTCATAGAGCTGCTTATGTCCTGTAAAAAAAAGAAAATTACTCAGAACACCAAAAAGATAAATAAGTGTGTGTGTATATGTATATATATATATATACATATATTTGAAAGTACATAAAACAATTACTCCTGGACTTGTAAGGAACATACATGCATAAACTATACCAAACTAAGTGAATATTATAATTTCTGAGCCCAATGTGGTAGTATTGCCGATTATCCAGGACTCTGAAAAGGTAAGATACAGAGTTACAAACCAGTAGGAACAGACCATATTCCCCTACCTTTCTAAATGAAACAGAACTTGCTCATTGGTAAAATGCTTACCCTGAAATGGATCCCTTGCCGCAACACACACACACACCAAAAAAAAAAAAAAAAGAAACAGAAAAAGCAACTGCAGAAGAAGCCATAATTTTATTTTTCTTCACTACAAGGGTACAGAAAAAAGCAACACTTCTAACAAATAAAGTTGACCTTCCTTCCATTCAGATTACAAATGTAATTTGTTGAGCACGCACAATCCAAAAGTTCTAATCCTAGTAGCCAATATTTTTATTTGGTTTTATTTGTTTTTTGTTTTGTTTTGTTTTGTTTTCGAGATAGGGTTTCTGTGTAGCTTTAGAGCCTGTCCTGGAACTAGCTCTGTAAACCAGACTGGTCATGAACTCAGAGATCCACCTGCTCTGCCTCCCATATGCTGGGATTAAAAGTGTGCGCTGCCCTAGTACCCAATATTTAAAAAAAAAGTAGAGTTAAGGGAGATGGCTCAGTAGTAAAGAAATCTTACTGTACAATCAATAAGGAAGAACTCAGATTAGTTCAGATCCCTAGCACCCACATCAAATGTTGGGTATGGCTGTGCATGCCTGCAATCCTACCACTGGGTATGGAACAAAAAGAAGTATACGAGAAACTGAAAGGCTGGCAGTGAGAGATAATATCTCAAAGCTGTAAGGCAGAACACAATAGAATACACCTGTATCCTTCCTGCGGTACTGCAGTGTGTACATTCACACATGCATATACACATACACAATGAGCAATTTAAGAGGGAAAAAAAAATGACAAAATTAAACCAAAGAAATGAATGTATAAAACAATGCAACCACAATCTGAATGTCCTCTTATAAAATCAATACTAGATAGCTAAAATGATTTGAGATTTGTGTTTTTGGTTTCTGTAGCGCTATGACCTCCATATGCTTACCAAACACTCTACCATGAGCTATACCCAATCTCAGATTTCAACTTCCCAGTTTTATTTGTTGAACAAAGCACTATAAAGACAATGAAACCAGGAATTATATCGAAAATGCTCTGAAGTAGAGCTCTGGGGTTGGCAACAGATAAATTATAAGAGTCCATGCTTTCCCAAGAATTGTGGCACATGCCTTTAATTACAATACCAGGAGGCAAAAGGCAGATACCCGAGTTTGAGGCTATCCTGGTCTACAGAGCCTGACCAGGACAGCCAAGACTACACAGAGAAACTCTGTCTCAAAACCCAAAAACACAAAAAGTGCCTGAGCATAACATGCATGATGCCTTTGGTTCTATTCCAGTAAACAAAAACAAAATCCTGTATTGATCATACGCTTTCCAATACACTGTATCCCAAACAGTAAGATTTTCTATTGTTATCATTGTTGATTTACATTGAGTGTATGTGTAGGTCAGAGAATAAATGTGAAAGTGTGTTCTCTCCTTCCACAATGTGAGTCCCAGGGACTAATTCAACCATTATCAGGTGTTGGGGCAGGCTCCTTCACCTGTTGAGCCTCCTGAACAACCCCCCAAAAATTTTAATTAACTTATTCATTTTTTAAAATAGTTTTAAAGCCTGGCGGTGGTGGCAAACACCTTTAATCCCAGCACTCGGGAGGCAGAGCCAGGTGGATCTCTGTGAGTTCAAGGCACCACCATCACCCAGTTTCAAAATTCCTAAAGACAGGGTCTCATTATGTAGTCCAGGTTGGCCTAGAGGCTGTTTAACTTTCTGAAGGAATCAGTGGTTAGGACACTCTCCAGAGGGATGGAAAGCTCAAGGTCACTGACTGCTCTTCCAGAGGTCTTGCGTTCTACTCCCAGCAACCACAGGGTGACTCACAACCATCTACAACAGGAACCAGCAACCACAGGGCGACTCACAACAATCTACAACAGGAACTGCCGCCCTCTTCTGGCCTGCAAGTACACATGCAGAACACTCATACAAAAAATATGAATTCAAAAAAAAAAAAACAAACAAAAAAACCCAAAACCAAAAAAAGACACTTCTCTGTCTAATCTACATGTACTAGTAAGGTGTATAAATTGCTTTTATACAATTCTATGAAGCCAAGAACTTTTTTCTTCTTTTGATACAGGCTTTCAACTCTGTAGCTAAAGTAGTCTCAAACTTAGATCTGCCCCATTGCCTTCCCAGTACTGGTAGGATTAAAGGTGTGTACCACACACCACTCCAAGCTAAGAGCCTATTACTCAGAGATCCGCCTCCCTCTAACTCCCAAGTGTTGGAATCAAAGGTGAGTGTCACCACCGCCTGGCAATAGCATGTATTTCTAAATGCTCTTTCAAGCTGCAAATTATGGAGTAACAGGATCCTGCAGTTTAAAATACAACATTTCTGACCTGGGCAAGGATAAGATTTCAGGGAACATTAAGCATCAACCAAACAGCACTCTTCTATTTTGCTTTCAGAAACCTAGGGCTTTACCTCTAACTTTTAATTCAATATTATCAGCATCTGCCTGTATAGAGAGTTCAAAATGCAAATGCACGGTTTCAGCAGGACCCTAAAAAAAAAACTACATTAAGTTCATTCAACTGTAAAACCATCAAGAAAGCAATGGCACACCTTCAAAACAATTAGTGAGGAAATGTTTGGATGACAAAGTTGGAAAGGGTACTGCACATTTTATGAGCTCCCAATAGTCAGGAAGGTGACACAGAAGTGCTGAAGGGCGTCTTCAACTACTTACTAGTAGTGCCAGACTTCCACAGTTATCTCAATAAATAAAAATACCAAAATAAAGCCATACCAAAAAGGGAGGAAGGCTGGAGAGGTGGCTCAGCAGTTAAAGAGCATTGGCTGATCTTCCAGAGGACCCTGGTTCAATTACCAGCACCCATGACAGCTCACACCTGTCCATAACTCCAACTACAGACATACAGACACCCCCCCACCACAGACATAAACTTGGGCAAAACACCAATGAACATAAAATAAAAATAAATTATATGCTTTAAAAAAAAAGACAGTGGCTGAAGGTACAGCTCAAGTACTTAACAGGCTTACTTAACCTCAGTTTTGTTTTATGACTGGTAATGGGGCAGGAGAGGCAATCCTTACACACACACACACACACACACACACACACACACACACAAAACAAACCTCTTCCAGTTTATCAATGATCATAGCAAAGGCTTTGAAGATGGCATTAGTCGGTCCAGCCAAAGTGATAATTCTCTCAGGACAATTCCCTTCTGAGATGTTGATACGTGCACCACTCTAGATAAGAAAAAGAAACAAGTAGTTTTAATAGATAAAAAGAGCTGAAATTGTAGAGGATAGCCCGTCCCAGATAACACACACAGGCAAGGGCAACAAGCTGCCTAAATCAAACAAGCGTTTCAAATGCTCCACTTGTTTTCAAATAACATACTGCCAGCTCATGTTTTTGGGACTCTGCACAAACTCATTTTTTAGCTACCATACTGTCTGTCATTACATCAACCAGAAAATGCTTCCCCCTTTGAGTGCTACCCCTGTAATCTATCATAAAGAACCTTTTTAGGGTTTCCCAGTCTAGCAAATCCCACTGTTTCGTATAACTTACCTCCTCGCGCATCTTCTTAACAGATTCTCCTTTCTGTAAAAGGAAAAGTCAAGCATGAGCTCCAACTATTTCAGACTGACTAAGTAGTAATTACTGTTGAAGTGAAACTCTCTTACCTTTCCGATGATACTGCCAACTTCCTGCAATGAAGAAAACATTGGTAACAGGAAATTCAGAGTTCATCATTATGAAAAGAAAATGCTTAATGTTCAGCTAACCAACTGCTAATTATACTAATTACCAATCCAAAGAAATAGATTTTAAGATTCGTGGGGGGAGCACTTATTCATTTCCTTGCACAAAATTTTATACTGAAGCTACCAAAGAACTGAGAATCAGAATGATTAAATACCACACCTTTGTGTAATATGCAAAATGAGGCCTGGGGATAAAACTCCACAATGGTGTTGGCCCTCAATCTCCTGTACACCCAAAATCAAAACAAAATTTTTCTTTCTGAAACTATAAGAGACAACAACATATATCAGAATGTTTTACTAGCCAGCTAGGATTGTTTTTTGGCTCTGCTTGTCATTCTTGCTCACTGAGGCTTCCTAGTAAAAGCTGTCCATCTTTTCACCACACTCCATTAGAGAAGAGTGCTACAGCCAGATGTCCCACAGTGCTAATCTGATGAGCTCCCACATGCTTGTCCGCTTTTCCTGGCCCCTCCCGTACCAGCTACTATGACCCAATTTTCCAAACTGGTGCATACCTTTCCATGCATAAGTAGCCTGATAGTAAGAGTGACATTTAATCCACCTTCAATCACACCGGTGTCCATGTCGAGTAGTTACAGGGAGTTGGATTTTTGAGTGGTCAAGTCTTTGGTCACGGGTGGGAGTGAATGCCAAAACTATAAGAATGACCAAAATAAGAAGGAGGGAGAATGAAGAAAGAGTAATTATTTTCCAGTTATTTTCACTTAACCCTTTGAACTGTTACCTAATGGACTCTTTTCCTTAAATGTTAACCTATCAGACTTGTAAACACACTCAGCACAACTGCATAACACTTACAGATCAGGTTTTGTTTCCAGTTTGCTCATTAATGATAGGGTTTCCACTGATGACTGGGATGAGAAAGATTCATTCCTTCCACTGGCAATGGTTACAGGGGAACTGCTCAAGTGCACGAAGTTGTACTTCAGCTGAGTACATTTTGAAAAGGATTCAAAAGCAGCTGGACAAGGTTTACTACAGTGAGGGCAAACTCAGCTTGCTGGCTACTGGCATCAACTGGAGTAAACGTAGAGTATACACATAAATGTTCTTATTGTTAACAATCTCTAAATCTCAGATGGTGATGGATACCAAATGATTTTAAAATGATTTAGTTCAGAACTGTGCACAGAGGTATATTACTGATCTCAAAACTGTAGGGTTATGATGAGGTCGCTGTAAGTTCAAGGCCACCTTGAGCAATGTCTTGAGAGCCAAGTCAACTGCCAAGACTACACATTGAGACAGTCACTAAGTAACAAGAAAAATAATTTAATCCAGGAGTCTCACTGAAAAAAGTGAGATATATCCAATATACATTCCACAACTGATGGGGCTCCACAATCCTCCTCTGAATGATTCTGTACATCTCGGTTCTCTCTTCTCCCATTCTTTCTTTCTAATCAATCGGAGGAATTTTCCTTATCCTTGAATGTTAACTTTGACTACCACACACTTCTAAAATCTTTTAACTCAAATTTTCTTCTAAATACAACAATAAAAACGAAACTGTCAGTGGTAAAGTTTGACTTCATATTGCTGTAAGGCCTCAGTAGGTGACAGATTCTCAGGATGCAGCATGTACTCATCTTCTCAAGCAACTCTACTTGTAGAGACAGGACAATTTGGATTTTGATGTTTTTACCTTTAATAACCAAACACTGATATTTCAAAAGGACAATGAAATTTCAAAAGCATGTCAAGTATTCATCCCTTCAAATCAGTATCAGTGACTTCTCTTAATTTTGTCCCTTCCAAACACCAGCTTTCACTTTGCTGTGTATATGAAATTCCCACATCCTTAAGTTTTTGGTTTTGTTTTAGCTTTTGTCTTTTGAGACAGAGTCTCACTATGAAGCTCAAGACAGAATGGAACAGGCTAGTAACACCAGGCTGGCCTCCAAACTCGAAGACCAATCTGCCTCTGCACCCCAAATCCAAGCCTTAAGCATTTTTAAAGCACTTAAAAAGGTGGCTCCTACACCACTCTGTATATGGATGGTAAAGGTCTTCTGATTACTTCAGGATGTTAATTATATAAATGCATTCCTAAGCATAGCAAGCCACTACTTCCAGAAAAGTTACTTGCTGTCAACGACCTCACAAGTCAACATCTTAACGGAAAAACAATGCTTATTGATTAGGTCTGTAAGACTCATTTTTCTCCCCCCAAATATACGGTATAAACCTGATAGCTTTAATTCCGTATCCCTACTCAAATGATTAATCACTTTAAAAATACAGTAATACAAGTTCAAAGAGACAAGAAAACCAAAAATTTATCTCCAAAACCATGTAAGTAAAACACGAAAATGTGTTTTTTAAACTCCAAGCCCTCTAATCTGAGAAACCTGTCTCTTCCTCTCCTGAGTAGGTCAACCTAAGTGTACCCCATCCCGGGAATCCAGCTGTTAATCCTGCAGTCAATACCCCTCTATAAATAGCTCGGTCTGGTTTATAGCGGCAGGCATTTTATAATTTCAAAATTCGTTACCCGAGAGAACGTCAGAGTAACTCAGTAACTGGGAGTCCGCCTACCCTTTAACTCAGCAGCCCCCCTCTCCCCTCCTCCCCCCGCCCCGGTCATCCAAGCATTTTCCACCTAAGAAAAAATAAGCCCCCCCTTCCCTTGACTAGAGGGGGGGAGGAAATAAACGGTTCGGTCAGGGGGGGGCGCTGCGACCCAGGGGGAGGGGCCGGGCAAGTAGCGCCTCCTCGTGAGGCTGCGCCAGCGCCTGACCCCCGCGGGGAGCCGCGCTCACCCGCCCGGCCAGCAAGCCGGCCATCGCCTCCCCCACCCCCCTCAACCAACAAATCCACCGCCACCCCCCCTGCCGCGCGCGCCCTCCCTGACTCCTGCGCAGCCGCCACCGGGAAGAGGCGGGGGGGGGGAGGGGGGAGCAGGCTTTGCGCGAGGCCTACTAGGCCGCGCCAGAGCCAGGGCCTCGCGTGAATGGACGGCCAGGAAGAGAGTAGTGGACGCTCACGCGGGACTACGAGAGGCCGAGGCTTCAGACTACGAACGGAGTCCTCCAAGAAAGATGACACGAGTGGAAACAAGCTACTGCCGGGGGCGGAGGAGAAATCTTTAAGCTTACCTGGAGGCGCGAGTCGACTGAGGGGAAAAGGGGAGCGGGCGGG